TTCCTCCGAGCACTCTGTCGATCCGCGGATCTCGTTTTGTTCAGCAGCGTCTTCGTCGATCCGATATCCGACGACGCCTCTTCCCCTGGTTCTTTCTTCACTTGCGCATCTTCTACGGACTCACGGTGAAACCCGGAGTCCCCAAGAGATCCGGGCACGCGCACCATTGTGGTGTAGCGGGATCGGCCAAAATCTGGTTAAGGCCTGATCGAGCTTCCCACCAGCGCCCAGACACCGACTAACGGAGGGGGTTCCCCAACGATCCGTGATCGGCTGAACTTGTTCTCACCTTGTGTACCCGTCGGCGGGCTGGATCGGCTCTCTCGGGGCTCCGAAGATGCAGCACTTGGTGAAGATCGAGTGTCTTGGCGTAACGCGGGGATAGTTTGTGGAGCAGCGCGGTAGTCTTCGCTCTGCGTCCGAGTATACGCTCCGATCGAGGGTTGTTCGCTGCGACCGATCGGCCTGGAGTTGATCCAAGGCCTGTAGTTGCCTTTCCGGGTGTGTTCCTTCCTTTCCTGAGCTGCTTGCTGCTTCCTCTAGCGGGATCGAGGTTGATCGAGAGGAGAAACGATCGCCGGCCAAGCACTAATATCCGGTCGATCGGGGACTTGCCCACAAGAGATAGATCACTAGAGTAGGTCAAGCTGGTCAATGTATTAATCCAGTCTTAACCGTACCGCTAGTTCACTACCCAAAGTGTCGACACTGCCGAGGCCAATGTAGTTCCTGGGACTTGGTGACTTGAGGGGACTTGTGGTCTTTGGTGCAAATTTTCTTCTGATTTATGTTTAGCTGGTCTCTCCCTAATGCTACCATCTTGCTTACCCTCCTACAACGACACGATTACTGGATTCTTGCCCCGACTTCGTCCTCCATGTGCGTCCCATCCTGGTCGATCCACGATCGACCCCGATCGGCGATCCGCGGTCGATCTCGATCGGCGATCCACTCCCGATCGATGACTTATGCCGGTTGCCATGCGCCGCCGATCTATCACCTTCTGTCCTCGGTCATCTCAGATCCGCGGCTTCTGTCGTCGATCCGGACTTGGGTCGGCCACGAATCACGCCGCGGTTCGGGCACGATCACCCACAATCCGGCTTGCCACATGTCCTGCCTTACGCGCCGGCGTCATCGGACCACCTGAGATCTCCCGAAGAACTCCTTCTGACCCGAAGATCCTTGCTGCCTGTCTCTCGATCGCCGATCTCCCACGCCTCCAGTCGATCGGCCCTGCCGCCTTTCTCAGAGAACAATTCTTATTCAGCACTTCTCCACAGTTACGTGCAAGTGGCGGCGGTGACCAAGGTGCGGCAAGCGTCGAGGAGCCGCCGGCCACTCAAGTACCTGTAGAGACTGGACAATCGACTGGACGTCGACTTTCCGGCAAGAAGCGGCGGCGTCGGTCTCGTGTCACGTCCCGCGATCGTCAAGATGATGGCAGCCTTGAAGCTGCAGCAAACGGAATCGTGCCAGCGGACGCCCAGCCTAATTCTCGGCCACGACGTGGACGAGGTCGCAGACAAGTAAGTGTTGGGGATGGTGAGCCCCAAACAGCTCGTGGACGAACCAGGTCACAGACGGCCAGGCAAGTCTCAATCTCGGAGGGCGCGACGCCTTCACCAACGTCGGCAAGAAGCAGACGTCTGACTGACCGCTCGACTCGTCTTCGCACGTAGCGGAGCTGAGCGGAGTCCGCCCGACAAGTCTGGTGACGGGCATTTGGTATCTGTGCGATTGGGTCACGCAACCATGCCTGCCATGCTATGGTTTAGTAGTAATGGATCCAAGCTTCGGAGGCTGTGTAGTGGATGCAGGCGTGACAAGCTTGATTCCACCACGAGTGTTCGTCGTACACGCCAGAGGAAAATCACAGGTGACCAAGATGTCCAACGCTGCCAGACGTCGGCTATCTGTTATATCGCTGGTCAGGCTGCCAGTGCCTGACCCAGCTTGCATAAGGAATTAGTGTACGAGGCTACATGTTCTCTTGGGCTCGACTGTTGTGGATCGGAGCAGTTCCTGGGAACTGACCACTTCAGTCCGTCTCTCAGCTTGAAGCCACTTCGAGCTAACTGCCTCTCAGCTGGACACGCCAGCAAGAGATGCCCTCTGCATTTGAGAGAGAGTCGGCATCCGCCACTCGACCTCACTTCACAATTTGCTAAGCAACGACGCAAGTGGTTGTTTGGTTAGATCAATACATTCGACTACTATTCCGTGCGGGTTCAGCCCCCGCATCGCCGGTGTTCAACTTTGGTCTTTCACCCGGGATACACTACAGTATCCCATTCGCGACGACTGTACACTGAGCACTGTAAGTGCCTTTTAGTCAAAGCAGGGCACACCTGGGTTGGTTTCCGTTCACACTCTCAACATCAACACTCCACTGGTGTTAATCGGCATATAGCTCGTTTAACTAGTTTACTATCAAATACATACATTTGAGAATTGTGTAGCCAAGCCACAACGACATGATTGGCATGTTTCACTCCTGCTTGGCTGGGAAAAAATAAAGCGCTTCAACTCGTAGGGAGGTGCCACGCCGCAGCAGGGTAACATCCTCTCCAAAGCTAAGACGTTGCACTGCGACCAACCGACCACCACCAGCAGCGCTAGCGCGTCTTCGTGACGTCCGACGCGGCCTCTCCGACTACGCGCACATCTCGCGTCCACACGCGTGGATCTCACACACCGCTTGACGCACACCACGAAGATGTCGTGGGCATCTAGAAGCGGGCGCCAGGCTCGCTCACGGTAACGGCCAAAAGTGCGCGCGTTCACACTCGACTCGGAGCCCAACGGCGGCGGCAGCCTGCGAGCGTGGCAGGAGTGGCGCACGGCGCGCGGCGCAGTGGACGGCTACGCGGACTTGGACAGCAGAAACAGCAGCGCTCCACCCTGATACCTCCGTGGACTACAGGGGAGGTAGACCTGCACGAGTACATGCATGTTGCACCGGTAGCTAACGCGACGGATGTGAGTCTGCCGCAGCACCACGTCACTTTCCGTGTCCTCGACCACCAAATTGTACAGGTTGCACGGCGCTGCGTCGTGCAAGATGGACATACTGGTATGTCGTGCTGCACGTGGCGCGAGGCGGACTTGACCCGTCGATGCTATAAGCCACTTCCTGGCCGCTGCTGCTTGTGCTGCCCCTGAGGCATCTTGTCCACCTGCTGCTTGTGCTGCTCCTGACTCGTCTTGTCCACTTGCTACCCCCTGTGATGCTGCTGCTGCATCTTCTCGGCCTCTCTCATGGCCTCCTTGCTGCTCTGCTGGTGGTGGTTGTGCTCGCTTGCGCTGGAGGTCCTAATCGCGAGGATCTTGCTCGTCTTCCTCCGACGCATCCGTTGCGATGTTGCCGGGGCGGCGACCCAGGGTCCTGCAATGGCTCGGTCCGTGGTGATGCGGCTCGGGCATCACTGGGGCGCGGGCAGCGTTATGATGCTTGGCTTGTGGCAGGTGCTCGGCAAAGTGAGACTGGGTCTTTCGCGTTTTACGACTTGCGTCGTCAAAGCGTGGCACATGTGATCCGATCACAAATTCAAAGAAAAAGTACGCTCTGATCAAATCCAAGACCTGTTCTGCATAAGGCCATTTAAAAATCTTCCTTTACTCCATCTGACTCGACGGTTCTGTCGTGCGAACGGTCCGATCCCCAAGCAAACGTACAGAATGATCATATTTATCTTTAAAAAGTAAACACAGTTGGTATGCTTTGAAGTTTTATTTTCTCAGTCTGGTTCGCACGATAGTAAGTATTGGAACTCACTGATCATCGAGTGAATAAGGCACCGGGGTTTGGATGCTCTAAGGTAATATACTCATTTAATGAGATTTAAAATCTGTAATATTTAATTACGAATTTTGGGTGAATAAAGTGTATTTCGATTACTGACACTACGCTAGTATTCATTTTTTTACCTGAAGTCCCTTCCGTCTGTTTAGCATTCGAGATCGGGATACAGCACTCGACAAGATCACAATGCGGTCTAAACTCGATCTAATTGTACTTATGAGTTCGTATTCCTACTAGCCAGGGGTCGGACAATACTAGGGCTCCGCGAAGGCTGGGATACGAGAATTTTGGTATAAACCCCTTCTATTTATTTTTTATTATATTTTCTTATTAGCAACGGTCATCTCCTGCGCCTGCTTCGCAGCCGCAGCATCTGCCCGGAAATTTGCCAGTTCAAACTATCTACCGGCAATGCTTTACAATATTAAAAATGCGAACCTTGGTTGATATCTGTTTACTTAGGAGAGTAGAACTTGTAGAAAAATCCAAACGCTGACCTTAGTCTTACCTTCATTTCGTTCATACGTACCCAGACATATACTGATTCATACCAGTGTTGTCGGTAGTGCACCGGTTCGATCTGCCCACGCATATAAACCTTTTGGAGTGCCCAGTGTGGCACCGGGGTCATACCAGTGTAATGAGTATCCTACCGGTGCGATCTCCAGTGCGGCACCGGAGACGTACCGGTTTCAAGAAAATGTACCAGTTAGATGTCAAGAGGAGTCATCGTTTGACTTGATGTGCCACGGATATAATCCTATTTGGTCTTAGCAGCACTAACGTTGCTTCCTATCCCAGTAAAATAAATTACGGGTTAAACTGATCAAACGGTTTTATATGGGTTTTGGAAGGCGCCTAGTGCATCCGCAGGCTGTCATCAACAGTTCGATTGCTCTGTTGCATAAATCATATGTTGCAAAACTTTTTGTGACGTGCAACTTTACAGCACTTTAATCTGGTGCCTGCTCACAACCCCACCGAAATAGTCCACACAAAAAGGCTTAAGTTGCAGCTGTGTTGCCACTTCGTGCCAATAACTGGATGCCACGCACTTTGTGAACAAACAGCTCTGCAACGCCATGACCTTGTGTCACAAGGTCACAAGTTGTGACCATCAGGCATCGTCTCTCCTCGTGGCTACGAGCCCGAAGTTCGAACAGCGCCTCCACAACAGAACCCCCGAACAGTTCTGATGGCCGACGCATCGGACTCTGCGCGCTACGCCAAGGCGCCGCACCTGTGGGCGCTGGGCGTGGGCGCCGTCGTGAGCGGCGACTTCTTCGGCTGGCAGTCGGGCCTCGTGGCGGCTGCTCATCATCCTGGCGCTCGTCACGGTGAATTGAACTAGTATATTCCGTTTGTATTTATCTAACTTGATTTTGTTTGGATATTATCAATCCACCAATTCAGTTTAACGTGTTCATGTTGTGCTAAAGCCCAGTTCACACTCTTAATGCGTGCAATACTTATTATGGCTGGAGTGCTCGCTGTGGGGTCACGCCTGTAATTTCAAGAGTTGCTTTGGCCTTTGGTTGTTGTTGGACTGGTACATTTACTCAAGCCAATCCCCACTTTCTTGCGTAAGTCAAGCGTCACGCGTCCAACCTTGCTCTAACCCACAGGTAGATTATTATTGTAGGAATTCGAAGTTGAATAAACTGGCTTATACAACGGACAGAACGAACTTGGGGATGATACGACTAGAAATTCTGCAGGGTGAGTTATTGCTGTTACCAACTAACTTGGGGATAATACGACTAGTAATTCTGCAGGGAGAGTTATTGCTGTTACCACTGTAGTTGTTGAGATAGAAGATGTCGGAAATGGTGATTGGTTCAAGCCAGCTCGATTTGAAGCTTTCTTCAACGTGGGTTGTATTACGCTATGCACAGCACAAGGAGCGCCGCCGTGGAGCTCCTAGCCTAGACATTCCAGTCAGTCTTCGATTTGCCTCGTAGGGCACAGACCAACTCTCCATCTTGCCTCGTACGGCACCAACAACAATACACTCGGCTCAAAACTTCCAGCAGGCTCGCCACCTGAGTGTTCTTCATTTCATCACCCAATATTCCGGAAAACAGTATAAAGAATTCTTTAATAATGGGCACGACGTTCCAGCCGTGGGGCGCAAGCTCAAGACGGGCAAGGGCGCGACGTTCAAGGCGACGGTCTACACAAGGTTCGACGCGACCCGAGACGACAGCGTGGACCTGCTCCCGTTCGAAGTGCCTCCACTGGAGCCTCCTCAGAAGATGAGCCCGATGCCAGGAGGGGCGCTGCGTTGTCACTGGGGCCGTTCCTCATACAGCGCCGTGCTATCACTCTGGCCGCTCCACGTGATCCTCGCCGTGCTGCCTCTGGAGCCGTTCTCCATGCGGCACGTACACCACCCGTGCGACGACGTCGTGCATGGCCAAGCTGGGCCGCTCAAGACGTGAGCTGCGGTCCTCGTGATATGTACGGCTAATGCTACCCCAGCCAGGATACATCCTGCTACGCTGTCAAAAGGATCGCGAAGACTGCGCTACACGACGAGATCTGCGTCACTGAGGCCGCTCCTCATACGTTTCAACCTGCGTCCCTGAAGCCGTTCTTCACGCGCCCCGCCTGCGTCACTGAGGCCGTTCCTCACACGCTACGACTCGCGTCATTGAAGCCGCTCTTCACACGCTACGGTCCGCATCACTGAGGCCGTTCCTCACACGCTACGACTCGCGTCACTGAGGCCGTCCCTCATAAGCTACGACCCGCGTCACTGAAGCCGCTCTTCACACGGTACGACCCGCGTCACTGAAGCCGCTCTTCACACGCTACGGTCCGCGTCACTGAGGCCGTTCCTCATACGGTCGAAACCTTCGTCACTGAGGCCGTTCCTCGTACGTTCCGACCGCGTCACTGAGGCCGTTCCTCACACACACCGACTCACGCTACTGAGGCCGTTCCTCACGCGCAATCGCCACCCACGTTGGCAAGAGTGTGCATGAAGACTGACGTTCATATATTCAAGAACACCTAGGGTATGTTGGGCTCAAATCGATGCGTACAGACTGCGATAAGGTTGCCCAAACAATTGTGTCCCAACCCATCCCTCGACTGCCAGTGACTTCACACCCCGGTCCAAAACCGAAGTTCAAGAGCACAATCGGTGCGGTGCCAAACTGGTTCGCGGCCGGACGTCAAGTCTATACCTGTCGCTCAAGACTCCAGTGTTGCTTCCTGGTTCCAGTGTGGGTTGCGAAGAGTGGGTCCTGCCTGATGGACCCGTAGTGGCTTTGTGGTGGTATGGTTGCACGGTGGTAGCGTGTGTCACATGGAGACCACGTGGTGTCGAGTGCCAATCCCGGGTGTGACTCGGTGATTCCAGTTCTCGGTGACGTCGTGAAGGACATGAGTGCTTGGACTATGGGTCCGACGCCGACTTCGTTGCGACGGCATGGTGAAGTTCTGGAAGGGAAAACACTGTGTTCCCTGCTTGTATACCTGAAGCGGAATCCCAGAAGCGCGACAGCAGTTGGTGTGGCCGACGCGAGTCTGCCCCCCCCCCCCCCCCCCCCGCGCGTAGTCGTGATCAAGAGAACCGCCACGGGGATGGCGTAGTGATGAATACACGCCTCGCCCGACCCAAGTCGGCGCTGAGCCAAGCGTTCAAGCGGCTAATCCTAACGAAGTGGAGTGGGAGTTTTCGCTCAGTGGGAGGAGCTGAGCGGAACTCTTGTAGCGCTCGGCGGGGCTGAGCTAATCAGTGAGACGGCTGAGCGAAGACCAAGGTCGAGCTGTCTAGCAACCTGAGCCTTCAAAAAAGCACGGGCGCTCGTCACATTCCAACACAATAACAGTAGAGCTAGTCGGCCTTACCTCAGTTCTTGTCAATTCGCGGCCCTTCCCGTGTCTTGATCCGTCGAATCTTCATCGTGAGCGGGATCTTCTCGCCCGTGTCCAAGTCGATAGGGAAGTCAGCATCGTCCGACACGCGGAGCACTTTCGCTTCTCTATGACCGCGCGGGTCGCCACTTACGAGGGCCATGGTGAAGTACTCTATCATCTCGCCAGCGTGCAGGGACTCGGGCTGCATCTCACTTGCAGTTAGAAGTGGATACGCATACATACAGTCTTGAAAAAAAACTTTGTCAAAAAGGTAATGAGAGGGTGATGGGCAGCAGAAACGCCTATACTTAGGCATACCATCTGGGATAGGACGTGAATAAAATGACCACCACTCTCTCGGACCAGGCTGTGAGCTCCCAGCACCAACGGAACCTCAGTTTGTAGGTTGGTGCATTCCCAAGCTAGGTCCCTTAAATTACCTTAGAATCGGGCAAGCTTGGCAGACTTTATAGTCCACACGCACCTGGAGAGCTGACCTCATAATTGTTTACATGTGGTTGTTGCTGCTATTACCTGAACTCGAGTAACTGTTACTTGGGCTCCTCTCATTTTTTAAGGCTAAATCCAGTCTGGCATATCATCCGCCAGACTTTTAATTGGCTCCTAGAGTGATGAATATTCTTTGCATAGCTGTAGGGCTGTCACGCAATGGTAATGTAATGTAAACTGCCGTACAATGTGTACGTTTCAATCGCGTCAACTCAGGGAAGGTCCCAGGTACCAGTTCGTACACTGTATATACTCCTACAATTGATTCAGGTTTTCTAAATACAAACCTGAATCAACTGCATTCGTGTCCCTACAGTCCGGACTTTGTATCAAAAACGTGGGGGATGATTCCATGTAGGATGGGATTCCAGCGATAACGTTGGCATTGAACTTCGCTCACAGATGCGTGAAGCCAGCCAGCCTTGAATAAAACATACTCCGGCATCTCTCCACTTCTCAATTTTCTGTCGACAAACAAGAGCGCGCTGAAGTTAGAAGGAAACCCAAGAAAAAGCAACAATGAGTAGGCAAAACATTGTACTGTTGTTTGTCGCTCTCTACTTCGCTGCCGTCGATGTCGCTACTGGTTTGCAGACCACTCTCGACTCGGCCGATAGTGTGCGCATCCCGACGAGGCTGTTACGAGCGCAAGAATCTGCGGACGTGGGAAACGTCGGCAATGCTTTCCCTGCCGAAGATGAAGGGCGGGGAGGCAATGGAGCGTGGGTGTCGAGACTTGCGGAATTACGTCGAGGCTGCGCAAGTTTGACATGAAACTTTCTCAGAAAATCTGGCTCCACTACGGCAAGGACCCGGAGTACCTGTTCAAGTATCTCAACCTGTACAACACCTGGTCGAAAATCGACAACAGCAAGCGCACGATCCAGTGGTTCAGATTTACCGAGGCGTTCAGAGAGAAATGGGGGGTCGGTCGCTTCACCGACTATGAGATTTACGCGCTGTTACGCAGCAAAGTCCCTGAAGACAAGCTGGCCATCACTTTCGAATCGCTAAAGCAGATTCCGGACCTGAAAAGCCTGGCCGAGACCATGCAGAAGTATCAGTTCAAGCGGTGGATCGACAGGAAAGAAAGCCCAGCCAGTATCCGAAGACTGCTAGGCGCCCCACAAAGTACGGCCTTGACGACGAAGCGCGGTCCAAAGGATGCCATCCTCAGCGCGTTTACCAAGATTTACAACGGTGGGGGTGCTTAGGCGCCACTCGCAGCCGCGAACATAGTCGCATGCACATGTTGTACGCTCAAAATTTATAACGATCAATGCACGATACTTTGCTATTATTTCTGAAGTATATGGGATAAATTGAATTGCCACTACACATGTACTCACACCAGTTCCTGCGCTATGGTTACTTGAAGCCTGTACAACGCTTCAGCTGCACTCGGGCGTGTACTAGCCTCCACCGCCACACAAGCAAGCCCCAGCTCCACGATCGAAGACGGACTCAACTCTGAAAACTCCACTCGCGCGACACCCGTCGTGATCTTTTGCAGCAACTCTGCATCCGTCAGCTGACGCCCAGTCGTGTCCAACTTTCGTTGCTTTGCCTGCGCGTAAGGAAGCGTGTGCACATCCAGCTCTGACAGCACCACCCCGAACGAGAACATGTCCGCCTTATCATCGTACTTCTCCCCCACCATGACCTCAGGCGCCATCCGAAGAGACGTCCCCACTCCAGCAGTCATAGTTTGGTCCAGACGCTCTTTAGAGATACCGAAGTCGGTCACCTTAGCTTCCATGGCCTCATTCAACAGAATGTTGCGCGATTTGAGGTCGCGGTGAATCACAGGCGGGGCAAGAGAGTGCAGGTAAGTGAGCGCGTGGCACACATGCAGGGCAATAGTGGCCTTCTCCTTGTCGAATCCAACCTGTTGTTTCGAGGCAAGATACTTGTCCAGCACAGCGCGTAGGTCTCCGCCATCCATGAACTCAAGCACAACACAAAGATCCGATAGTGAGTCCCACGCGACGGCAACGAAGCTCACGATGTGTGGGTGCTCCATGGTCGCTGTCATCTGGCCTCCGCTAGGAAATCGTTGACGTGCTGGATACTGGAACGCGTGGCGGGAATCAGCATCTTCACCGCAACCTGTTGCCCGTTGAAGACTCCCGTGTAAACCTCACCATAAGCTCCGCGACTGATCAACTTCTTGATCTTGACCTTGTCTCGAGGAACTCGCTTGGCCGTGATCACGTCGTCATTCCAAAGCCCCTTTTGACCGCTTAGAGCTGCTTCCAGTGTAGTGCCATCTCCTGACAACAGCGTGGTCGTCAACTGTCCCCCGCGCTTCCCCTTCGATCGTCGTCTGTGGGGCAGATAAAGATGCCGACAAGTACCAGCAGAACCACCACACAGCCGCAAATGATCCCAACGATAGCCCCGGTACTGATTCCACTGCTACCAGCATCGTCCGAAGTGGACCCGTTGGAGCTGGTCTGGTCGTCGAAGCTGCTATACCATTTCAAGTCATTCGCGCCACACGAGTGGCTATCAAGCGTCTCCTTGGTGGCGGTAAAGGTGTCGAACAACGAGGTCAAAAGACACTTGGTCTCGTTGAATATTTGGAGCGAAGCCGACCCGTCGGTCGTGTTCAACTTGCCGATGACGTAGTTGCTCTGGTTCTTGTAGTACGAGCCCGCACAGTTCCCCCATGCCGGATAGCCGTCTGCGGAGTCGAAGGTCTCGCAGCCTTCTTCCAGGTACTGCACTTGGATAATGTACGGAGACTCGCCAACACATCCCGCATTGCCGACAGGTAGTCCGACGTGCAGGTAAAAGTCACCATGTCAGCGCTCACAGAGCCCGAGCCCGACTCGACTCCATAGTCGTAGCATGACAGTTCCGTACAATCCTCGTCCGTGTCCTCTTCGTTGGCGCTCACAGAGTACGGAGTGCCGCTGCAGTCGGTCCCGGCGTAGCTGGCCATGATCGAGTACGTCGTCGCCTGAACAGCAGCCCAAAACACCTGGACGACCGCCAGCACCAGCAACGCCAGGCGACTTAGAGGAGTCGTCCTTCGTGGTCGAATATGGCGGAGAAGAAGCGAAAGCGAAAGTGACGCCAATCCTGCGGTGCTCGGTGGTCGATGATCTTCGGTCAAAATAATTCAAGAGTTTTCTGGGCATGTGCCCGCCTGAGATACTAGCACACGATCCCAGACATAGAGCGCTTCAACACACCGGACAGGTGGACGAGCGACCCTACTTGACAGAGATAGAGCTTGGGCTTAGGATACGGCATATCATATCTATGAGATCAGAAGGTGGATACGGCAAAATAATGTACGACAGTGCACAGCACATACCTGTTTATTCAACAAACGTTTGCAATACAAACATGTATGGAAACTTTGCATACTCTGCTTCACGCCCCGAGCCGCGTCACACCGCAAGTTCCTGCGATAAAATAACCTGGATCATGTACAGTGCCTCAGCAGCGGTAGGGCGGTCTCCGGGCTCCACCGCCACACACGCGCACATCAACTCGACCAGCGAGCGCGGACTCGCCTCGGAAAACTCCACTCGAACCTCGCCCGCAGTGATCTTCTGTAGCAGCGTAGCGTCCGCCAACTTCCGACCGTTGGTGTCAAGACTGCGCTGCTTCGCATGAGCATACGGAAGTGTGTGCACATCCAACTCCGACAACACCACTCCGAAGGAGAAGATATCGGCTTTCACGTCGTATTTCTCGCCTAGCATCACCTCGGATGCCATCCACAGCGACGTCCCCACCCCCGCCGTCATGGTCTGGTCCAGCCGCTCTCTCGAGACGCCAAAGTCTGTCAATGTCGCCTCCCTCGACTGATTCAACAAAATATTGGGCGACTTCAGATCTCGATGAATGACTGGGGGCATCAGGGAGTGGAGATAAGTGAGAGCGTGGCAGACGTGCAGAGCGATAATGGCCTTCTCTCTGTCCACTCCGACTGGGTACTTGATTGCCTCGTACTTGCTCAGCAGCGTCCTGAGGTCCCCTCCGTCCATGAACTCCAGCATTACACAGAGATCCGACAGCGAGTCCCAGGCAACTCCGACGAACGTGACGATGTGCGGATGATCCAGGGACGCCGTCATCTTGGCTTCAGTCAAGAAATCCGTCACGTGCAGCAGATTCCCACGCGTGGAAGGCAGCAGCATCTTGACCGCCACTTGTTGCCCATTGAAGACGCCGTTGTAGACCTCCCCGTAAGCTCCTCGACTGATGAGCTTCTTGAGCTTGACCTTGTCTCGCGGGACCCTCTTGGCCGTGATGACGTCGTCGTTCCAGAGTCCAGCTTGTCCGTTCATAGCAGTCTCAAGTGAAGTCAGGTCACCTGACGCCATCGTCACCGTCCATTGACCCGCACGCTTGCCGTTCGACCGGCGTCGGACGTAGAAGAAGACACCGCTAGCTACAACCAACACGAATACTACATAGCCAGAGACTATTCCAATGATAACTTCAGTGCTTAGTCCCCCGTCGTCGTAGGTGTTACTGCTGTACCATCGGCAGTAGCCCGTGTTCACGTACATGTCCGAATTGTAGTCGAGGGGGATGCACGTAGCATCCTCCAGGACGTTCTCAGGTGCGACGACTCCTCCGATATTGATTGAGCTTGACGACTCCGAGCTCGTTAAACCGTCCGACGTCGGGATACGTAATACGTCGCGTTGTACCCGCGCTCACAGGAGCCCGTCACGCGATACCCGACAGCGTAGCGGAAGGTAGAGCAGTCTACGTCCTTGTAGATCACCTGGATAATGTACTGGGACGAGCCAAAGCTGTCCTTCATGGCCTGGAGGAAGTCCGACTGGCACTCGGTGGTCACCGTGTCGTTGTTGGGGTCGATAGAGCAGGTGGGACTGGGGCAGTCGGCGCTCTCGACGACCTTGACTGCATTGGGGATGCCATCGCAGACGTCGGTGGACGGGTAGAACTTGTCGATAGCGTACGTGGTCGCAGCTATAGGCGACCAAAAGTTGGCAAGTAGCAGCAGCGATAGACGCATGAGCATCTGAGTAGAGCGGTGGCAATGCGGAAGTGAAGACGTCGAGGTGTCGAGGTGTCGGGGTTGTTGGGGTCTGATTGAGGCCCACCACGAACTCATATTTGAGTCGAAGTGGCTTCATACGATGCCTTCGACGCGAATGTCGAAGCAATGATCCGATACTCTATGGCTCCAGTGCTATCTTGGACTGTTGGGCTTCACCGAGATGTGTGCACTGTGTAGTATTATAATACGTGGTCGTGTGACTTGCGGTGGCGAGCGCCACGAGGAACGTCGGCAATCCATCGTCGCCGCCGTTTGATTGCCGCTGGTTGGCTTGTCGTACTGGTGGCTAGAATCAGAATGTTTCAAACGTTAGCCAATGAGATCACCCGAATGAATCTGTAGTGTAACAGATCCTAAATAAGGGAATCTGTATTTTCAGATTGCTGGAAGTGCCGTTTGTAGGATGCGATTATTAATAACAGTGGTTGTCAGGGTTGGATGCAAGCCGCTTTCCAAGAAGAATTTCATCATCTTATTGGACAAAATTCCCCTGCATTACAAGAGATCTTGCCCCAGCTTTTTCTTTCCAGGAGATAACTTGGAGTCCAAGGAGTGTGCGACACACAAAATAACAGCACGAAGATCTCGTCGCGGCAAGCGAACTAAGCGCGAAGACCAAGAAGAAGCCGGTCTTCTAAGACCACGATGCGGTCACCGACGGCAAGTCATCTCTGCAGGTCGTCCTGGATTGGCTATCCACGGAGGCAGATTACAGCAAGTGGCGGGGCAGCGACCATCTAGTGCTGCAGTGCGAACTGCGCTAAAGCACGGGCCTCCAGCGAGTACGAGTTGGCATCTTTTTGAATGAGGCGAGGGTCACTTGATTGGTTAGGCGAAAGGTCGCCTAACCCTTTGTCTGATTGGATCCAGCGAGCTTGGAAACGTAGTCAAAGTTCGCATCCTGTCATTGGCTAATGCTCCTACTTGCATCCAGGGCTTGCATCCAAGTCTGCACCACTAACGTATAATATCAATTAGTATGCGGCATACTATTCTTGTAGTGCCCTCTGGAGCCGAGTAGGGCACTGTATTTGATGGCATACTATTTGTTAGGGTACTCTATTCGATATTGCTACAGCTGTGTAGACAGCATAATATGCTGTCTATATTATTGTCAAAGCGTGCAAACGGTACGTTGTGGTTGCATGTTTCATGTACTTCTAGCAGAGCACCTACATGTATTCTTTGACCCAAACCTCGTCAACAAGTTCAAAGCACGGTAGTGGTCTCGACGAGCTCCTACTCGGTACATGTATACGAGGGTGAATTCAACACACACCTTGCACTAGCTGATGTGTCGCGCGCGTATCGAAAAAGCTGAGAAGTAATTTTGGGGGGGGGGGGTCATATTGTCTCGCTTTCACATGCAATCTTCTACTTCAGGATACAATTCATTATTCACGACCACATCCTCACACTAACCCGTAAAAGCTGACAGCGCCCCACCACGACGTGGTCATGGCTGTCGAATGATGGTGGCCGAAACGCAAACCCATCGAATTCGGACATGCACTCGGGATGCAAGCTCTCCAACTACATACTCTACACTTCCGATTACAGACTAGAGCGTGAGAACGAGACGCCTGATATATCTGGATTTAAAAGGGAATCATATGTGGCAGACACCACGTTATGTATTGTACATTGACTCTAATACCTGATCTGATCGGTAAAAACGGGTATTAGCTGTTACCCGTCTCGTTCTCACGCTCTAGTCTGTAAGTATTAACCAGTTTCGCGCTGGCAATCCACTCAAAAGATTGCATTTGATGTCGAGTCGTACGATTGTCTGTGTTCCAAAAAAAATGGCACGATGTCGTCTTGCAGCGCGATCCATGCCAGAATGGAATCGCAGTACAGCGCGGTAAGTAGTTTCCAAACGCATTCAACATGTATAATATTAACGTGCATGTATAGTCTGTCAGTTCGACGGCAGTCTATTCGGAACGGCACTAGGTGTTTTGTACAAGCGCAGCGGTGGAAAACCCATTTTTCGAGAGATGAAGTGAGCCACGTTTTCAAGCCCGAACTCGACACCACGACAGTCCACGGCTTTGCACTAGGCCTGCCTGGCCAGCAGTAGGCAGCTTAGTTTTAGTTTTAGGGGGCGGCGTTCCTCAGCTAGCTTGCGTGCAGGCCAACTAGTTGGCCGACTTTAAGACCCACCACACCACTCCCGGGGCTGCCTCGCACGGATTCACTGCGAACCCGCTGCGAGGCATGCCTTCGGTGATCTAAGGACGTTGCCTTTTGCCCCAAACGTGTTCACGGAGGATAATAAATGGCGCTCTATTTGACGGCACTCTATTGTTATAGTATACCCTCACCATAGGGCACTCTATTCGCAGGGGACTCTAATACCTTAGGGCATACTATTCGGTATTATACGTTACATGTATTTGGCACTAGCATGCTATGTATCTGCTCTCCGTGAACCAAATACTAGTAGTAGTATGTTTGTACAGCTTGTAATTGACGGCCGCATGCATGAGCAAAAGAAAAGTGGAGTTGGCTTGAGACCAAAGCTACCAATTGCGAGGTAAAAGCTTTTCGTGAGATCGAGAGAGCTGCAAATGCCAAAAAACTTCCAATCAGTACACATTCAGCACCTGCATTCATTTATTAGTTGTAGTGCTTCAGTATATCTCTAGGTGCTGGTCAAGGCAGCGTCTCCACCAGAAAGATGTGCAACTTGTACAAAGCTTCAGCCGCACTTGGTCGCTGTCTTGGGTCGAGCGACACACACGAGCGTCCAAGCTCCTGAATCAATTGCGGAGTCGACTCTGAGAACTCAACACCCGCTTCTCCCGTTGAGATTCTCTGCAGGAGCGTTGCGTCTATCGACTGATAGCCGCCCCTGGTTGCGTAGGGTAGCGAGTGCAAGTCCAATTCGGACAAGACCACTCCAAACGAGAACATGTCCGCCTTGTCATCGTACTTTTCCCCCAACATCACTTCAGGCGCCATCCAGAGCGACGTGCCCACTCCCGCCGTCATGGTTCGGTCAATTCGCTCCCGTGAGGCCCCAAAGTCCGTCAGCTTTGCCTTCATAGCTCGATTCAGAAGAATATTCCTCGACTTGAGGTCCCGGTGGATCACTGGCGGCGACAGCGAGTGGAGGTAAGTAAGCGCGTGGCATACGTGGAGAGCTATCGTGGCCTTCTGTTGGTCGATGCCAACCGGGTGCTTTGCAGCCAGGTACTTATCCAGTAATCTCCGCCGTCCATGAACTCCAACAGTACGCACAAGTCCGACAGAGAATCCCACGCAACGCCAATGAACGATATAATATGCGGGTGGTCCATCGTAGCAGTCAGCTTGGCTTCAGCGAGGAAGTCGTTTAATTGTTGGAGACTGCCTCGAGTCGTGTGGACCAACATCTTGACTGTGACTTGTTTCCGGTTGTAAACACCCGCGTAGACCTCACCAAAAGCCCCTCGATTGATAAGCGTCTTGACCTTGACTTTATCTCGAGGAACTCGCCTTGCAATTATGACCTCGTCGTTCCAGGGTCCGCCGCGGTCGGATTCCGGAGTCGCAGTCTCGTCGGACTGGAGGATGGCTGTGGTTAAAGGGAGGCTCCTCTGACTCTGAAGCTTCTTGTCCTGTTGTCTGCGGAAGATGACGAAGCCAGCAATAACAACCACAACGAGGCAGCCAATGGCGATTCCGATGATGGCTCCTGTGCTGAGACTGCTGCTCCCCGTCGAGATCTCGCCGTCGCTGCTGTACCAAGTGTACCCGCCGGCATCACACGAGGGGCTCTCGAGCGTCTCCTTGTCGACGCTCTCGGTCAGCACCCACTGGTTTGCCAGACAAGGAGACCCAGAGTAATACTCCATCGTGGCGGACCCGTTATCTTCCAACGTGCCAACAAGGTGGACGCCTTAAGCTGCATCTCCAGCGGCCGAATGACCCGATCCGGGTACGTAAACCACCAGCAGTGCACCCTGCTCCAACTTTTGCAGAAGCCGCTGTTCAGGAGCATACGCGGCACCTGCTGCAGGTGTTTTTGGGGTGTATTGGGGAGGACGGAGTAACTGTGCACGATACGGCACAGTGGTGGGATGAATTGAAACTTCGTGTTGTCAGAGATACGCTCGCCATTACTAGGACGCAGCGGCGTAAATGCCGTAATACGTTCAGCCAAAAACTGCGCAGACTTCGCCAGCAACAAGTTCAGTTACAGGAGACAATGCGAGGTCAAGAGGCTACCGTAGACACCATTACGGACGGGCTTGATGTGCTTACGCTGGAGGATATGCATGGATCATCGCCCGCACTTCGACTGAGAAGAGCGATTGCTGAGTGCCAAAGGGCGCGCTCCTCGCTACACCAGCACCGTCATTACTCGGCGAGTACATACTGGGAGGGGAAGACCACACGCGAGTTCTTTCGGCGTGTGTCCAGCAAATTTACGGACAACACGATCCACCGTCTTGATCCAGCTGTTAACGGTCCCGTCCGCGGCATACACGACAAGGCGGACACTTTAGCGGACGCCTGGCAGCCAATCCTGCAACAGTCTGCGGCAGACCCACAGTTACAGGACACGGTGGCGGGGTGGATCGAGAAAGTAATGACTCCCAGCAAAGAACAAGACGCAACTGTGGCGCCGATCACCGCGGCGGACATTGAGAAGCCCATTGCAGAGTGCAAGGACGGGAAAGCTGCGGGCCCCGACCGACTGGGCAACAGTTGGTACCGTACCTACGCAACTCAGCTAGTGCCGATCTTTGAAGTGCTGCTCAACCAGCTGGGGGTTTTCCTCGTTCCTTCCTGGAGGCCAACATTTTTTGCCTCAAAAAATCTGGTGATCTGCACAATGTCCTGAACTACAGACCGATCGCACTTCTGAACACAGATTACAAGGTGTTCTCGCGTATCCTGGCGACAAGGGTGAGGGCCATGCTGGACGAACGTATCCATGACAACCAAAATGGTTTCGTCCCTGGCAGGACCATCCATGAGACGTTGCACATCTTCGAAGCAGCGCAGCAAGCAATCTCCGATGATCCTGCACAGGATGGGGCAATCGTCCTATTTCTCGACTTCATCAAGGCGTATGACTCGCTTTCACGGATGTTTTTGATCAAGGCCTTTCGTCAACACGGGTACCCGGAGCAGTTTATTGAGACGGTGAGACTACTCCACGACGGCACCAAGGCTAGTTTCCTCGCCAACGGGTTTCGGTCTCGTCAAGTTGAGGTGTCCAGCGGTATCAGGCAAGGCTACCCGCTCGCGCCTCTCCTCTTCATTTTTGGCGTTAGACGCTCTGTACCAGGAGCTTGATCGACACCCGGAGCTCAAAGGCGTAATTTTGCGCTCAAAGGCGGGGAAGTGGAGGTCAGGGTGGCTGGCTACGCAGACGACTCGGCGGTATACTTGGCCTCTGCGGATCGAGTCGAGTCACTGCTGCAGGTCACCAATACGTTTGGGGCCGTCTCAGGGTTATGTCTCAACCATGACAAGACTATGGTGGTCGCGTTAAGCAAGACCGGGTCGACATCGGACACACAGCTCCCATCAAGTTTAAAGTTCGAAGACATGGAGCAGCAGGGTCGCTATCTTGGTATTTACGTTGGCAGCGTTCGTGATCCCGAAAAAACGTGGGCGGTAGCGGAAAGACAACTCGCAACACGCCTCGTCATGGCGAGTCAAAAAACCACAACGGTTGACCAGCGAAGCTTGATAGCGTCGTCTATTATCGTTCCTAAACTCACGTACATCGGACAACACGCCTGGCCGACCACGAGCACGAGTGAACGTCAAGGGACAAGGGCTTGGCTCGATGCTGATCTCGCGGGATTACCTCGAACTCTCGGGGGGCTGGCTGTGCCGGATCTACGGGTTGAGCTGATGACCATGGCAGCGATCACTGTTTCAAAATGGGCGATATCTGGGTCACACACGGCTCATATTGTGGGCGATATATTGCTTGCACGATGGGTTGCTCCAGGCGCCATCGCACCTGCCGTCTACGTGACTCCTAACGCGGGTACGGCACCGGCTTCCGGTTTTCGACGCTGTACAGCCATGTGGGCCACGGGCAAGATGCTCATCACTGCGGTCGGGAGGACTCCGGACGCAGAGGGACGGGCAAACATGGTGTCATCTCTCTACCAGTTAGCGTGTCATTTTAATTTGGTGGACCTTACCTGGGCCGGCCCAAAGCTTGAGGTCGCAGGGCTGGCGCTGCGTGCGGCTACCTGCAGAAGGTTTCTACACAATGATGCTGCACAGCTCGGACAGCAGTGCTTGGAGTGGCTACCATACGCCAGCTTGGATGACCTTACCCTTTACGATGATCGCACCGGAGGCCTCGCCCATCGGAAGGATTTTCGCAAACTCACCAGGTCTGGTAGACGATTCAAGGACTTTGTACATTGGCGGTGCCACGGTGCAGGAGAGATTACTTTCACTCTTTTACTCCCGCGGAAACTACGGACTACTGCTGCGAAATCCCAACTCGAGATCCTTGTTTTGATCCTAATCACGAATTTTCCGCGGCTACTCTACCCCGGGCCCCGCAGCTCTGAGCTTCGCATCGTCGCCACGCCTTCGGACCATCCGGCTATTGTTGAGGTGTCCCCCGCGCTGCCTCCATCAGCCCGGCTGTTGACTCAGCCGGAGGCAGGTGCGACGGCGATAACCAGTCGGGCCCGATTGACCAAGTTTGTACTGGATTCCCTCCAGCCTGATGTGCGTGTCCATGATGTGCATCCTCACCCGCGAGTTAGTCGGATGGTCTGTCTCTGGGTGGGCAATCGGAGGTGGACACAGCCCAGAGTCATTATCGTGAGTTTATTGCTGCAGCGTCACGGCGAAAAGCTCAGGTTAGTGTCGTTCGCAGGCGGGGTAGATGGGAGCAAGCAAGTGCTACGGCGGCGAAGGGACTATCTCGGCTTGAATGGTCACGACTCCGGCGCATTGTTGGACTCGGACCCTGGGGGGAGCAGATCTTGTACCGACTCAAGAACCATGCTTTCTCTCTTTATGACTGTAGCCACCACCAACTCGGCTGTCCTCATGCAGCCTGTGTACGGATTGCTCGCGTGGATCCATATAATGTTTTCTGGGCTTGTCCAGCGGCAGCGTCGCTCCGAAAAGTCTTCGTGCATCGGTGGTTGGCATTGGGTCTACCGCGGGCTCCCCTCGAAGAATCATTCTTTAGCTTGGTTCTCTCTCAAGTGCCGGCGGGCGTGTGGAAGGCGGTCGAGTAGCTCTTTCCTCACCTGGAATTGGGTGTGGCTGAACGTTTAACGGTGGCGGTAACCAATGTCGTGGAAAGTTGCTGGCGAGTCGGTGTAGCGCTCTATTTTCATGCAGTATGGCGGTGGCGTGTGGCGTACTTTGATCCACTCAACAACGTGACTGAGGACTATCATCGGGCCCTGTTGGCGTCAAGACTGCGTCACGGGTATGACCCGTTCATCTACATCTCGGCCGGGGTATTCATCGTGACGTTCTCGAGATGGCGGCACGGACGATGCGTCGTGTGCTCAAATCACCGTGGGAGCCGACGATCGAAGCGGCCCCTCTAGGACGGAGCCGCTATCTTTTGTTTTTCGATGGCGGCTCGCGTGGTAATCCAGGCCCTGGCGGGGTGGCCATGAAATCTGTTGGGCCATTACTTATTGGGAAACGGACGGGGTGGCCATGAAATCTGTTGGGCCATTAGCATGTCCTACGCGGCCGCCAGCACGACCAATAACGTGGTGGAGAACATGGGGCTACTGACGGGGCTCAAGGCGTGCCTTCGTTTTGGCTGGACCCCACTTCATGTGGTAGGAGACAGTAACCTCATCATTCATCAGCAGAAGACGCGGACACCGCCACGCGCCAAGCATTTACGACCGCTGTATTGGCAAAGTCGCAGGTTGGCCGACAAATTGGCGGTCATCTCCTGGCAGCACCACCCCCGTGCGCACAACAGCATGGCAGATGCCCTCGCAAACATGACGATGGACTCACGCCGCAGCTTTCAAGGAAAACCCAACCGAGTATGTGGCTCCGACTCGACTTGGGACGACGTGTACAACTACGCTTCCGGCGAAGTTAGTCCCTGGATAAAGCAAAACAGCGATGAGAACTCCTCGGGGTTCGCGACCTTCACGCATTAGTGTGTGCAGGTGGCTCTGGTTTACGGCTAGAGCAGTTTCATAGGGTGGTAGGATAGAGACAACCGCCGACAAGGTCGTAGCTGTCGTTAGCCAAAGAAGTTAAGTGACATCAATGTACCTCAATGCGAAACGAAACGAAACAACAAGGTGGACGCCGATCGAGTCGTTCGTGTTGAAGGAGCCCTCGCAGTTGCCCGACGCGGGGAAGCCCCACGCCTTGGCAAAAGTAGAGCAGTCATCCTCAACAGAGTTCACTTGGATGAGGTACGGAAAGCTGCCGAACTTGTCCCGTAGAGCGGTCAAATAGTCGGATGAGCAGTCGACGGACACCATCCCCACGGTCGAATTCGTTGCGCAGGCTGCAGCGGTGCAGTCGGCGTCTTCATAGGCGATGACAAGGTACGGGGTCCCTGCGCAGGACGTCCCCGAGTAGTATGTCGATTAAAATAGGTCGTCGCCGCTGCAGCGCGCCACAGCATGAGCACACAGACTAACGCTAGCTGCAGGCGGAGCATGATTCTGGCGGGCAAGAAGGAGACAAAGTGCGTGGGTGGCCGGCAAGATTGGAGAATGCCCTCGCGGACGGTCGTGTGTACGCAGAACAGGCAATGGATCAGTTGCTCTGCAGAGGAGACTGCAGGTGCCACACCGCCCTCGACGAGCTAACGCAGAGGCGATACGTGCAGGAACTTGCCTCCCCTCAGAACCAGGCAAGAGATCCCGGGCGGAGTCGAGGGCAGCTCTACGCGGACTTATCCTGGAACGCGAAATACATGCACGCTAACGCGAGTCGTGCGGCGAGTACTATTCGGTGATTGCTGCAGGATAAAGCACCAAGTTGCCGTATCTTCGAGGGGCGGTTCACGTGACGTGAATCACGTCACCTTGATTGATGCACCCCGCGACCGAGGGGGAAACTGTACCACTCAAATCACAAATTACTAACCCTCACTCGGGCCAGAGCTTGCCTGTACTGGCACTTTCCTTAGTTGCTGACAGTACATGTACCTATAGGGGGAAGTTCCCCTATACCCCCTGGGAACTGTGCTTGAGGGCCTACTATACATTAGTACTTAGTAACTTCTGATCCACGTATGCAAATTGATCAGTATATTTATATAGTACTTCGAATAGTACTGTCACAGTACTACTGTGTCGTTGGATTGAAAGATCAGACCGGCGGCGCGAACTCCAACCCTTCAGCTTCCTTCTCCAGTGTACGTGACATGAATGAAAGCGGCTGTGTGGTGTGCTAGGTATTCTATTAATGAGAAGACAGGGGCTGAAAAATAATACCGTGCAATTATAAACCAGAACACAGTATCGTAGAGGCTTATTTTGTGAGGGAAAATGACCAAATCGGTATGAAACCAATTTTAAACGCCAAATCGGTATATTTCGTGACTGAATCGGTATGCGTTAATTTTAAATATTTAGGTGCGAACTACCACGCCACGGACGCCCTCGCTTCTTGCAGACTCCCAGACAAGTGTCATAACATTCCTGCCATGGTTGCTGTACTTGTGGTATAAGTACGAACTACTTTTCGTGCTTATCTAGTGCAACACAACAATCAATATAACCTGGCATGCCGCCACCAAATTGATGTTCTGTCGGGCGGAGGAACGCTGGACACAGCTTTAAGAAGTTTGCTAGGGTTTTAAACGTCTTAGGCACTTCAGGATATATGGCGTCGCTGTCATGTGATCGTTCTTAACGGGTTGGCAGATTGGATGACCATATACTAAGAAAAACTGAAGCATCGGAGAATATGTACTTGCTATTAGGTAAGGATATGATGAAAACAAGCAAGTAGTCCACAATAGACAAGCTCACAACTAGGTGTTTAGTTCGGGTGTCGACCACCCAGTGACCCGACCGTATGCGTGATTGGGGGGTCATACCGCTTCAGCATTTAAAAATGCGATTTCATACCGGTTTAGTCATTTTCCCTATTTTGCGATGCAGTGGATGTCCCTTGATTATTAAGTGCTGCCTGATTCATAAGAATAATATATTATATTCATATTGAAATTAACATCGCTAACAAGTTCCACAACGCATGTGGATACCTTTCGGAGAGTGTTGCTATTCTTTTTTTGCTATTCTTCAGTGAGAGTGTCGCTGTGATAAACTAGTATTAGAGCGTAAGTTACTAAAACTGAGGGTTTGTTTCATATTTACGGGAAAAGAAGAACTTCTTCCACTGGTGCGACGGTCTTCCAAAATTGATGAGAATCGTATTTAACCTCCAGTTGCAAATTATTTCTCCAAAGCCTCATATGACATGTGCTTGGTTGGAGTTTCGCGCTCCTACTTCTTGGATCCTCTGCAAGGTTGCCCCTGAGTATGCAAATGGGACCACTGTGCACGGATGCCGTGAGGCTCGCCTATCATCGTCAACGCAGTACAGGTATACTAAATATCACTTTTCGCTGCGGCCGTAGAACTTAATCATGGCACGGCCATCTTCGACACATGCCTTGCCTGATGTGCGTCGGGTAGACAATCGAAGCCCACCTCCACAGCCTTCGCGCCAGTAAAAAAAAACATCACCACAAATATTTTTATCAGCACACCATATGCTCAAATGATATGCAAATTGTTAGTTTATTTATTGTGGGAAATGGCACCGTATGGCCACATTTTCGGTGGCTCACGCTTGGAATATGCAGGGAAACACTGTAATGACACTTCTTAGTTGTCTTATGGTTGTTCACCTCTAATTTCATAAAGTTTACTGTAGTATAAGTAGAAGTAATATTTTGAAATCGACAAGCTTACTATATTAATCAGTATTTTATTTCAGTGATATTCAAAAATTACTAAGTACTGGGTGTAGAATTAGTACTATAGTAATGCTGTTATTGGGGACGAAGTCCCCCCTTACATTGATGCACTCACTTTTACTTAGCTTTTTCAAGGGTCCATACCCGCATTTACTTACCTGATATCAGTTTAGGAGGAACGGGGTTGGGCTGACATTCTGATTGCCATTTTTGACCAAAACATCCTGTGTTTACTGACATTTCCAGAATTCTGACATGGATAGAATTTGAGACTTCACTGCATCAAGATGTGGATTTTGTGACCGTATGTCATTAAAACGGAGGTACACGATTTAGAGGGCACTTTCCAAACAGAGAAATGCTAATTTGGCTCAGCAACAGGACGACAGGTGCAGCTTTAGCTAAAATACTACAGTTTATCGGCTGTGATGATGTGACTGAATGCCTCGTCGCATACGTTCGTACCCTGATTTAGAGCGGAGGGAACACGGTCAGCAAGCTTATATACGGGAGCGTCAGACTCAGTCTCCTACAGTTTATTTAAGAAAATAAGATTGGACAGACTCTCGCTTCAAGTTCGTGCCTACCAACCAGGCCTGCTCGAGTGCAGTCAGCACTAGATGCGGTAGTGAGCGGTTGCGAGGAGCGTAGCCGCAGCAAACCCGCGCGGGGTGCCCGCGAAGCAGGGGGCCCAGCGACGAGCATTCCAGCGAACGGACCCGTTGCCCCAACTCGGAGTAAGTTTTCTATTGCTGGGGGTGCAACCCCCAGCATGTAAAGATCGCAATGCACTTCTTACATGCAATGGCGACGTCTTCATGCAGTTCTATGATAATAGTATTCCTTATTGAAGATGTGTTGTCGGAACGGGAGCTGCACTGATCTACACGTGATGGTATAGACCCGACTAATAAACAGATTCATTAGATCCATTGGGAGATCGGGGACGTCGGCCCCCTAAGCAACTCAACGGAGCAACGCGATTGAGATGCTCCACTACTAGTATTAATACAGTCAAAGTACTGGCAAGCTCTGATCCTGGCTGTTAACATGACGCGGGACCGGTTGTAGTTTTGCGATCGTCCAGCACAATGAAAACTCTAAGGAGAAGTCTCGAGACTTGAAGTCCTCCCTCGCTACATTTGCGCCAGAAATGCATGGAGCTTGTACAAAGCATCCGCAGCACTAGGCCGTTGATGCGGGTCGAGCGACACACACGCACTGCCAAGCTCGCTTCCGAAAACTCCACACGCGCCTCCCCCGTGTTATTTCTCTGCAGCAGCGCCGCTTCCGTCGGCCGCCGCCGACCATTTCAAGTCACCCGTCCATCAGTAGAAAAGCTTACTCGCGTGCCACAAAGTAGATCGTTGTTAAAGCAGACTTGGGTTGCAACAGAGCTTCAGGTGGACTCGGATTCCGAGTCGGAAGGTCGATCGATACACAAGCAAAGCCCAACTCTGCCAACGAGTACACTGTACTGTATGACCCTCCGATTGAGAAAATCTCCGCTGCAATACATGTATTCTGCAACTCCGTCAGTAGCACCGCAAAGGAAAACACGCCGAGCTTTTGTCGTAACATGACTTCCAGTGCCGATTAACGTCAAAATACTTGTCCACCAACGCAAAAAAGTCTCCGCCACCTTCCATGAATTCCAGCACCACACATGAATCGGAAAAGTGAATTCCCAGTGACATTTTAATATTAAAATAAACGCAGCAACGCGGGAATTCTCCAAAGTGGCGGTCAGCTTACCACGTGTACTACGAATCCGATGAGCACGCTAAATTCGAGAAGTGACTCGGATCTGGAGATATGCTCTGCGTTTCACTAGCGTTAAATGAGCCCATGTAATTGCCACTTGCCAGGAATTCAGTCGCAGCAGCGAAACTTGTACAAGGATCTTTATCAAAAGGGGCCACAAATCCATCAGCACTTTATCATTTGGGACCACAAACCTGTCAAAGAGTTGGACTTAGCGCAGTACCGTCGATAGCCAATTGCTGGCCAAGCGACCGGGACGTTGCAGCACAAGTGTCAAACTGCAACGCAACTCAAGTAGCGGAACGCGTCGCAACGAAGTCTAAGCTAGGCACGTTTTGCGGTTTCATTACAGAGCTGCTGCAGATACGTACATGTATCAAACCAATTGGCTAGTAGTCCATTACGTACTTACAGGACTTCGTACGACCTCAAAGAAATATCACGACCCTTTGGACGCCTACCAGATATACATTAACGGGCTGTCATACCTGCAGCTGATATGCCGCGTCATATACGCGCATAGATCTCGCGGGACGCAGATATCGTCTCGATAAACTGCCCTACCCCTAGATATATGCCGTGTAGCCATCATAAAGTATTGTCTTGTTGTTAGTATACTTTTTGCTGACCATCATTCTAAAATATACATCCTTCACTCTACGGGCATATCGATGATCATATATCTTCCGCCAAATCGAAAAGACGCTCAGTTGCGAATTTGCCGCCGGCGGCGCGAAGTCGACAGCAGCCAACACTTCGAAAGGTGAGCGTGGTTGATGGCTTTGAATGCACTTATCTATGAGAGGACTCACCTCGTGTTTGATTGCAGGGACAATGGTGCGCTTAATCCACTCCGCCGTTCACTGGCGGCGTCGGTGCATCAATGACACGTCCAGCGAGGACGAAGAGAACACGCCGCCGAACATCCAGCCCAGCCATCAGTACGACCGCGACAGCAAGCGCCGCATCGAAGACGCCAGCGAGTCCGCCAGCGCTACGGGCACAGCAACGCCTCCGTGGCTGCCGCCAGAGAGAAGCCGCCTCAAGTCCAAGTTGGCAACGAACCCGCCGCCAAGCCAGGAGTCGATGTCTGCGCCCGTGTCGCCGCCGGTGTCCAGCCGCCCGTACCCAGCCCCACCACGTCGTCACCGGTGCTCCTGGAGACGCCGCCGAGATCCCCAGCGTGCGCTTCAGCCTCTCCACGAGGGCCGTCGTGCGCGTCGTGAAGCTGCCGCGCCTTACGCTCGCCGGCGGTCGGCGCCTCAGCGCGATGCCCGACCCGTCATCAACCCACGCGGGGCGATGCGAGTCACTGCGGACAGATCGCCTCGGACGCAACTACGGGGGCCGCGGTCACGGGATCGGTTCATTCCAGCGCAGTGGCCGCACCGCGTGATTCAGCTTCGCGAGCAGTTCAACCCGCTCGCGACGGTATTTCCGTCGGTGCATCACTTTGGGTGGTGCGACTACCCATCGCCGTGCCGTGTGGACTCCTGCCGCAATTCGCTAATGCATCTTTACTGCAATATCAACTGCTGCCCGTACGGGGGGCTCTGTGGCAACGCGCTGGCCGAGTCGAGCAAGGTGTATCTAGGGAGGAACGTGCGCACGAGGTCGTTGGGCGTGGTCGCTAGCGAGGACATCGAAGGGGGCGAAGTGCTGGGGCAATACCTCGTCGAGATGGAGCACTTGAGTGTTTCGCGCACGACCCGACCGCGCAATAGCGGCTACCGCTTGGTGATGAGGCAGCGGCCAGAGCGACCGGCGTTCCCAGTCTGCGTGGCGATCAACGCCGAGAACATAGGAGGGCTGATGCGCTTCGTACACCACCCGTGCCAACCGGTGGCGAAGTTCGTGGAAGTGGCCAACGGCCGCCGTACCACCGTGGTCGTGGCGTCGACGCAAGACATCCACCGCGGCGAGGAGGTGACAGTCGACTATGGCGACGACTTGTGGTTTGCTTACCGCTGTGGGCTGGATGGCTGTCGCCACCACAACATTCAAGACGCCCAAGACCCGTGAGAGGGCCAAAGAATGAGCAGGACGAGAGAGCAAGCAACGTGAAGAGAGACCCCAGCGAGAAGGGGGAGGGAGCGAAGTGAAGGAGGTGTAGTTGTGTAGGTAAGCGTGTTGTGAACAAATGAATTGCATTGAGATAAACTATTGATGTGCGGTTGTTGATGGTGGTTGCAGTGAGTGCAAAGTAGCTGCAGGCTAGCAACAAGCAGGGAAGCATGAAAAACTGGCGCCAAGGTTCGCGCCAAACGACGGGTTGATGGGCTCATCTTCGTTCGAAGTTTTCACGTACACTGACTTGCTATTTGCGCGCGAAATCTGCGCGCGCAGCGTTAAAGTTGTGAGCTACTAGCATCCTTTTAAGATCGATGCGAACTGGTGGCGGCGAAGGCATCGCCCTGGCAAGCTGCCGCCGCGGCGAAGCTATCGTCGTCTCTCACTTCTGGTTTTACCACGTTCCAAGCAGTTCTCCCCCCCCCCCCAAGCGCGTCTCCGCCGCCTCGCCGCCGCCCACCACTCCCGGTACGCCGCGCCAACACGGTCCAACGTGGCAATGAGCAGCGTGGCTGACTTTTTATAGATTCGTCTGTGTGTGTAGATGCCCAAGCACTCTGGAACCACCAACTACTCGACGGCCGATGTCGACCGCCTCCTCGCCCGTCGAGAAGATGCTGCCGCTCGGCAGGGACGAGTGGGAACGCCTCGCTATGATGTACAACGCCAACAGGCCTCGAGGCTCGCCCGAGCGAGACTTCGAGAGCTTACGGCGTAAGTGCAAGGTGCTTCACAGCACCCGGAAGCCGACCGGCGTGCAGGAGATTCCCCCGCTCATCAAGAAAGTCAAGGAGGTCAAGCGTGCCATCGACGACAAGGCCAACGTCGTGGAGATGGACGACGAGGCTGACAACGACCAGTCCGACTTCTGCTTTGAAGTCGACCCGGACGACAGCTTCTACGAGGGCGGCGACGGCGAGGGCGAAGGTTTGGGGGTGCCCACTGCCGCCACTGTGGGCAGGTCCGACTGCGGCGAGTCGCCGGGCTCCGACGAGTCGGCCGAGGACGAGTCGACGGCTTCCAGCCGCTCATGAAGAAGACAAAGACACGGCGGAAGCTAGCTACGCCGAAGCTAAGCGCATCCGTGCCATGAAGGCAACAACAGCTCTCAAGACAAAGCTGGATGGCCTTGAAAACAACGCCAGCAACAAGCGAGGAGGCATCCTCGAGACGCTTCGGCTGCTCCGCTAAGAGAGCGAGCGGAAGGCTGACGCCCGTCGCGCCGAGGAAGATCAGCGCCGCCGCGACGAAAAGGCGGCCAACGAGGCCCGCCTTCTGGAAGCCAAGGCTGAAGCTGAGGCGCGCCGCCGTGAGGAGAAGCTGGAGAGAGAGGACCGTGCGCGCCGTGAGCGCGAAGATGCGCGCGCCCGCACTCAAGAGCTGCTCATATTGATCGGCGCACTGACTAAGAAGGCGTGAGCGGAAGGCGCGCATGCTCGTCGAAGTGAGGCTATCATGCACGTTCTAGTTACTATATACTTGTCACTTACCACTAAGCCTCAAATCAAACATGTTGTTCATGATCCGCTAGCGTGTCCGTCATGGATTACGTGATCTTCTAGCGCCTTCATCATCACATGTACTTCTGGTGCTGCGTACACATCTCTGTGAAGTCAAGTGCAAGACGCACGAGCATCGAGTTCGGCTCTCCGTCGCAAAACGTTTGCAGCACGCTGCTGCCAGCAACATCGAGATAATGAAGCAGCTCAATTCAACGGCAAAGAAAAATGTATTGTTGCATGCAGTACAAACACGGCTAGTTCGACACCCTACTCGCTGCATAGCTCCATCTCGCCTGAAAACGTCGTGCGTATCTGCGAGATGCCGACCGTGCGGACGCGATAGTTAGCCATTCTGAAGATGTTGTTGTTTCGGTGCCCACGAAGCTCGGGGTCGTACGGCAGGGGGAGGTTCAGGCGGCTGTACACCTTTTGCATGCTCCCCATGCCCCACTCCGCCGCCTGCCTCACGGACGTGATGGCGTTATGAAGCGTCCGCGCGGAGCTTCTCAGCGACTGGAGAATCCTCTCGAGATCGCCATCTTTGAGAGGAGTCAGGATGCGACCGACCATGCTGGTCGAACACGGGAAGGCTGAGTCCGACACCACGTTCATACGTGTGTCCGGGCAGAGGGTAGGGTCGATGAACTTGGAACGGAAGCCCAAGGAGGTGTCGGAGTCGTTCCACGACCCGGGCAATTGTGCTTACACCAAATGATGCAGCCGTCGGCTGCGAAGCAGATTGTGCCAGTCACGAAAACGGTGTGCAACCACCCGTTATACATGGCGTTCTGCAAGTCCGCATTCGACGGCTGCTGAACCTACAATTTCATTGATGTTAGCATTCTATCATAGCAAGTAACATTTTGCAAACTACAACTCACCCTTAAGTTCTTCCCATCAATGAAGCCGAATGTGTGTTTGAGAAGCGGCTCGCGGGCTTCCACAAGCTTTGCCAGTTCGGCTTGGCGAGCAGGCGAGGGCCAAGAGATTCTGGCAGGAGCGTAGCCTTTTAGCGCCAGCGACAGCGCTTCCTCGGCGCGGCGTAGCGTCCTCGATATGGTGCTCGGCGGAGCACCAAACATCATACACAGGGAGCTCTGCTCCATCGACCCGACGTAGAAGCACAGCACCAGGCCCAGGATCTGGTGGTAGTGTCGGAGCTTCGGGGGCCGCCCGCGTGCCGTGCTGCGTGGGATGTAGTAAAAGCGGCTGAAGCGCCGCAGTAGTTGGTGGAAAGCCGACCTGAAAGCATGCATGAATTAGATATAGCGCAGCAACTTCAGATAGTAAGTAGGATCGCACCTGGTCAAGCTCGTCGCGTTTAGGAAGTTGATGTCGCTTCCGCGCGTGTACAACATCATCCACGCGGAGTCGCAGGGCGTGTCCAGGCACTGGGTGGTCAGGTAGTGCCTGGTCCGCATGGCGATCCTCCATGCCTCTTCCACGAGCTTGTCGTACACCTCCCTGCGCACCTCGTGCAGCGTCTCCTCCTGCTCGACGAAGGCGCTAGCCAGCACCAGCATCGCATCGACGTCCTCTGCGGCCATCGCTCCGGCGCTTGTGTCCGACGCGCGCCAAATTCGAAACTGGTGAAATTGAGAAGGGATGCAGCGTCGGCGGTGTCCGGAACGAAATGACGGGTACATTCTTCTAGCCCAGCAAACGTCTATCAAGCCGCCTGATTCAGGGCGATATCAAGCAGACACAAGTGACGCATGTACGACAATTGCGGTGGAGATTTTGAGCGCTATGTCAACATATATCTTTTTAAACCCTGTCATATCTGCTGCAGGTATGACAGCCCGTTAATGTATATCTGGTAGGCTCGCCATCGAGTTTGCTAGATTCGAGGCTTTAGTCAGCATATGGGGTACGTTGAGCATGCATATTGTAAATTAATTATTAAAAATAAGCTATGGCAAACCAGCAATGCATCCGAAACGACTTAAGCGTGCCAAAACTTGTGCAGCCTCCGAAGAATGGCTTGAATTACCGGTGTGAAACGTTCGCCACAAGACAACACCCAGTTGGTTGCATACTCATGCCTTCGCGATCAGAAAAAAATAAACTAGCGCTGCTTGTGTGCCGTCCTAATTGTTTTTCAAGATTAAAAGGCGCTGCCAAGTTCTAGACGCGGTAGTTAATCTAAGTTAGAATTTGTCGCGATTTAGAACGTTATGTACCCCCGCAGCTCAACCAACATGTCGATGGTGTGCTCGTCCAGGCACTCGTCTACGGTAAAAGTTCCGCGGTAGATAACACTTACGAGCGTTGTGTAATTAATCTAAATGCACCCTATACACGCAAGTGTAGATCGAGTTGCCAGTGACAAGCATTGTCAAAGGGTGTAGCTTCAGCCGTGTTGTGCTGGTACTCAGAGCAAGGCACCATCGATTCAGGAAATAAAATTAAGACCGGTCTGGCGTTCGAGTCATCTCAAATAAGCAGACCCGGTTGACAGATATCTACAGGTTCCGGCGTAAATTTTGTGCAAGGTATTTCACTAGCGGTGTCCAGAGGTGCTCAACAGAAAATGTTGTATAGCTAAAATTCAGTGCTGCTTAGGTAGAGGGCCCTTTTCAGGAAGCTGAAAGGGAAGACTTGGCAGCGAACGAGAACTCCTGGAATGACATTCAATTAGGAACAGCCTACAGCGACACCAGGACTTTATAGTTCTAGTTACGTGCTTCTTGGAAACAATAGAGGACCTTTTAGAGCTCTCCCACTAAAGAGTTGATGTAAGTGTCAAATTCCGCTACGACATTTATTCTGCTCAATAGCTTCCTCTCTTCGATGCCTTTGCGTCACTTATTGCGCGTTTGAGCTATAAACTAAACTTATTATAATACTGCAAGTAGAAATGGATCCGAGGAATATTTTGTTACATGGAGGAGCTTCATAAAGCTCATAAGCGGAAGATCACTGCAACGCTGTACCGGTCGCCTGGACAGCAATCGGCTATCGACGGTACTTCTTACGGTACTGCGCTAAGTCCAGCTCTTTGGCCCCAAATGATGAAGTGCTGATGGATTTGTGGCCCCTTTTGATAAAGATCCCTTGTACAATCAAATTCAAACTTGCAAAATGTACGTGACCTTGGCCAACTTGCCTTCAAGTTGATGAGTTCTCTTGAGGTGACCACATACCCTTGAATAGAAATCATAACTTTAGAAACAGTGGCGCGCGTGTAGTACATGTACATTCCAATCGATTATAACTTATTCTTCTCATCATCAGTCCAGCTTCTTGCTCGCCAGAATCTTCTGCAGCTTGTACAGCGCCTGCGCCGCCGTCGGTCGCTCCGTCGGATACACCGAAGTACACGCGCGTCCCAGCTTCTTCATTGCGCGTGGAGTGGCGTCTGAGAACTCGACCTTGACGATTCCCAGCGCCACGCGCGACAGCAACAGTGAGTCCGGGATCTCGTTGCCGGTCGAGTCCAAGTTCTCCTTCTTCGCTTTCGAGTACGGCATGGTGTGGACGTCTAGCTCGGACAACACGACGCCGAACGAGTACACGTCGGCCTTCTCATCGTACCGCTCCCCTAGCAGAACCTCAGGCGCCATCCACAGAGACGTCCCCACTCCTGCAGTCATGGTCCGGTCGAGACGTTCGCGGGAGATCCCAAAATCCGATATTTTGGCCTTCATGTCGCCACCCAGTAGAATATTCCGGGACTTGAGGTCTCTGTGGATCACCGAGGGCGACAGCGAGTGCAGGTACGTCAACGCATGGCAAATCTCCAGTGCCATAGTCGCCTTCTGCCGGTTGAAGCCAACGGGGTGCTTCTCCTTCTCGTACTTGTCCAGTAAACTGCGCAGCTCCCCGCCTTCCATGAACTCGAGGACGACGCAGATGTCGGACAGCGAGTCCCACGCAACACCGAGGAACGTCACGATGTGCGGGTGGTCCATGCTCGCCGTCATCTTCGCCTCAGCAAGGAAGTCGTTGACGTGGCGGATGTTGCCTTGCATTGGCGGCAGCAGCATCTTGACCGCCACTTTCTTGTCGTTGTAGACGCCGACGTACACCTCACCAAAGGAGCCGCGACTTATCCGCTCCTTCGTCACCACCTTGTCACGCGGAATACGCTTGGCAGTGATGACATCGTCGTCCCAAAGTCCAGTCTGGCCTCGCAGCACAGCCTCCAGTGAGTCGACGTTCGTAGGCGTGAGACTTCGGGCGAATTGGTCGTGCTTGAACAATGCCCGAGCTTTGGTCTGACGTCGGCGCAGCACAATCGCCACGACGAATACAATGGCGAACCCAAATGCACCCAAGCCAATGCCGACGATTGTGCTGGAGCTCAGCGAGTTTGACTGACCCTCGGTAGATATCGGGGCTCCACCGTCAGGGAGCTTGGCGTCGTTGCTGCTGTACCACCGAAACCAATCGATGGTGCAAGTATGACCCGCCAACGTCTCCTTGTCAACGAAAGTCGCCATGTACTTCTGGTTGGAGAAGCACGTGCGCTCCAGGTACAGCGCCAGTGAAGCTGAGCCGTTCGTGTAGAGACTCGAGATGGCATAAAGCCCGTCCGATTCGTTGTACGCGCCGACACACGCGCCCATGGCCGGGTACCCGAACGCCATGGAGAACTCGGTGCAGTTCTCGTCCGTGTGGAGCATCTGCAGCAGGTACGGGGAGTTGCCGAACTTACCTCGCATGACCTCCAGCACTTGATCATAGTCCAAGGCGCAGTCCATCGTCATCATGTTGGCGTTGACGGCTCTCGAGCCTTCGAACTGGTCGTAGGCAGCGCAGGAACCGGCAGCGCAAGTCTCGTTTGGCCACACTGTGACTGCGTACGGAGTCTCCCTGCAGCTATCGCCGAGGTAAGTAGCCTGGACTGCGTACGTGGCTTTAGCGACCATGACTCCGAAGGTCTGGGCGACCACCAACGCCAGTGCAACTTGGCTGAACATTTCGGTCTCGACACCTCGATGTGAGACGGAGGTGCGGCCTAAACGGGAGTGAGCCGACCAACCCATCAACGGGCCGTCAGCGCCAGCTGCAAAGGAGCTCGTGGTCATCCACTCACAAATACGCCGCAATGACTGGGTGGTATGGGTTCCTCGATGCCTAAAAACAACGGCTGTCCATCGCCCAGAATGGAAAAGCAGACGCGACTAGGGCCAAGGACAAGATTGATCCTCAACGGCTGGGGGAGCCCTCAAGCACGATACGTATGAATGAGCCCCTTTCCTCGAGTCCAGCACAACATGGTGAAAAGGAGCGCCTCGGGCGTGTATCAGCGCAATTCGAATTAAAGTTGAAGCTTACTTGGGCGTTCATGAGCCCTCGCAATCATATTTTCTTACTGTCTCCGCTTCATCAACCAACTTACTTATACTAAGTTCTTCTGTGAATGATAAGAACTGCGTAGACTATTACTTCTAAAAAATCAATCATAAGAATATCGTAAACCTACATGTATTAAATTAAAGTCGGAGTTACCGAAGGTTCCACTTCAGAACGATTTGAAGCTTGTACAGCGCCTCCGCTGCGCTTGGACGTTTAGTAGGATCAATAGATATACACGCGCGCCCCAGCTCCGCCATCGCCTTCGGACAGGTGCCTGAGAATTCCACTTTAACCGCCCCCAGCGCCACTTTCTGCAGTAAAGTCGAGCTGGCCATTTCTCGACCATTCGAGTCCGGGTTCTGCTTCTTCACCTTCTCATACGGCAGAGTGTGCACGTCTAGTTCGGATAAAACCACTCCAAACGAGAACATGTCCGCCTTCTCGTCGTACCGTTCACCTAGCATCACCTCGGGCGCCATCCAAAGCGAGGTACCAACTCCCGCAGTCATAGTGCGGTCGAGACGCTCCCTCGATATGCCAAAGTCTGCGAGTTTCGCCTCCATGTTGCTGCCCAGCAGAATGTTCCGTGACTTTAGGTCGCGATGGATGATCGACGGGGTTAACGAGTGCAGGTAGGCCAGCGCGTGGCAGACTTGTAGAGCTATGGTGACTTTCTGGCGGTCAAAGCCAACGGGGTGCTTGGACTCTAAGAACTTGTCCAGTAGAGCGCGCAGCTCCCCTCCGTCCATGTATTCGAGCACGACACAGAGGTCCGAGAAGGAGTCCCAGGCGACTCCGACGAACGAGACGATGTGCGGGTGATCCAAAGACGCTGTCGTCTTGGCTTCAGCAAGGAACTCGTTCACGCGAGGAAGCTTGTCACGCGCAGCAGGAAGCAGCATCTTGACGGCCACTTTGCGGTCGTTGAAGGTGCCAGTGTAGACTTGACCAAAGAAGCCGTGGCTGTATCAACACCTTGCTCCTTAGGATCCGCTTCGCCGTGATAACGTCGTCGTTCCATAGCCCGCTGCGTCCAAGCGAGACTACGCTCTTCTGAGACGACATACTGGTCTTCAACTCGCACATGTCTGTAGGATGACGTCTCGTCCGACGCATTACCGCGAGGACCAAAACTAACACGGTCGCCGCCAGTGCGAAGCATCCGAGCGCGATCTCCAACACCCCATTAGTGCTGAGTCGAGTCGCTGAGTCGCTGCTACTGCTCAAAGCCGAGTGGTTCTCGGTGTTTGTATCGACGTCGTTGCTGCTGAACCAGCGGACGCGATGCGCATCGCACAAGTGCCTTTCGATGGCGTCTTTGTCGACGCTTTCGGTCATGCAGAGCTTCTTGGACGTACACGATCGGTCGAGATACTGCTGCACCAAGGCTGAGGAATTCTTGTGGAGCGTGGCGACCACGTAGAGACTGTCCGACTCGTTGTACGCGCCCACGCACGTCCCCGTTGCTGGGTAGACGAGGGCCATTGCGAGGTCTGTACAGTCTTCATCGGCGTAGTAAACTTGGAGCAGGTAGGGTGAGTCCGCGAACTTGTCCCGCATCGCCTGCACGTAGTCCGTTGAGCACTCGCTGGTCACCATGTTGGCGTTGACGGCTCTGGCTTCGGCGGTGAAGGCCGGAGAGCACGAGATGTTGGAGCAGTTGTCGTCCTTGGCGACGTACACTCCATAAGGGATGCCGCCGCACTGGTCACCGAGGTAAGTCGAGTAGATCGAGTACATCTTCGTCGGCCCAGGAAACCTGGTCAAGCCAAGCGCACCTCCCTACGAAGAGTGGATCACCCCGGCCGAGTGAGAAGAAGAAAACTGTTGTAGCACACGAAGCCAGTCGATTGCCACCCTTTACGAGGCAGAGGTGACAGATGTCGTCCAGCTGGAACTCCACGGTTGCGTCCTCGAAACATGTGTGGGCTCTCGGTGTGGCAGCATGCTTGACTGTCGAGTCGCTTAGTGTAGAATGATAGAATAGCGTGAAGTTATGGAGCGACACTTATTAATAATTTTATTAATAATTAAGTGTCGCTATTAAAATAGTGTTGTCAGGAGGAAACGCAAATTAAAGCTGATAGGGCAAAATCAGCGCGTGGCCTGCATGTAGTCGGACGTCCCCGCTTTATAAACTGCTAGGTTGACTGCGGGTGTTGTGAGGTTATGTTACGCGAGCGATACGATGACAAGTCGACATGTTTTCGTTCGGCGTGGTCTTGTCCGAAATGGACGTTCACACGCTGCCGTACGCACGAAGCAGATACTTGACTCGAACGGCCGTGAATTAGCAGACTCGGTTCTTCTTCAAAAGGTGGCACTGGGAAACATCCAGGTCGAGTTCACTAGCTCAAGTCCTCGCTCCATTGCGGAGCTGGGGCGCGCTTGTGTGTCAATCGACAATCGACCCGACAGAGCGACCAAGCGCAGCCGAAGCGCTGTATAGACTTCAGACGGTCTTGTCAAAGCGAAGGATCTTCTGATCTCACTTTGACGGATGCTTATCAAATTATACAATAACCATTATTATCGTTGCTAGCTATCTCGGGCATGTACGTTGTCAAACCCGCAGATATGGTCTCCGTAGGCTGCACGACAAATAACAATCACGGTGATGAGGCAGGTGCTTACCAAGTCTACGTACAACCTACATGTACAGGCATGATTCGCGACGATGCTTGCTTCGTCGCACTCGAGCACTCCGGAAGGAGCTTATTAACGAGACAGAAAATGGCTACGCCGTCGTCCATCTCAACTTGACCGGAATCGCCTGCTCAAGTAATGCTTTGAGAGTCCATGCTCAGCTGAATCAGGATACTCAACTAAAGTGTTAGCTGCTGTAGCCCTTGGGTCAACACTAATTGCAATTTGTACAGGGCTTCAGCAGCACTTGGGCGCTGACTTGGGTCTACAGATACACAAGCGCAGCCGAGCTCCGTGATGAAAGACGCGTTGCCTTCAGAAAACTCGACACGAACGGTCCCTTCAGCCACTCTCTGGAGCAGCGTGGCGTCCGCAAGCGCACGTCCTCCGCTGTCCAGACTCCTCTTCTTCTCCTGCGCGTACGGCAGCGTGTGCACGTCCAACTCGGACAGCACCACTCCGAACGAGAACATGTCGGCCTTCACGTCGTATCGCTCGCCCAGCATCACCTCAGGCGCCATCCAGAGCGACGTCCCCATGCCCGCCGTCATCGTCTGGTCCAGCCGCTCTCTCGAGATGCCGAAGTCCGTCAGCTTGGCGTGCATGGCCTTGTTGAGCAGGATGTTGCGCGACTTGAGGTCTCGGTGGATGACGGGGGGGCGCCAGCGAGTGCAGATACGTGAGCGCATGGCACACGTGCAGGGCGATGGTGGCCTTCTGCTTGTCGAAGCC